GTAGCGATGTAGTTTACTGTTGTTATATTAAGGCTGTTACCCGTGCTGCACCATGCTTCAAGACAAGATTTCACTTATTTGTCATTAGAAATAAATATTTTACAATATATAACGACGTATTGTTTTTGTGATTAATCACTATGCTTTCATTATGTTCAATTTGTAACAAGGAAAATACATCCCGCATATCAGATATTTACATGATGATTCATCACAGTAGCAAAATGATGCTATGGTTGGGGGGCCACCACAGGAGGAATTGTATGAGAGAGTCCTGGCATAAAGGGTCCTGCCCTATGGTATTCCAGCCTTAAGTCCAGGGAGTAGATTAGCTCCATCAATCTGCAGGTGAGATAAAGCCCAGTTTGCTCAGGAGGCTTTCTACATCAAATCCCCCTGGTGCGGCCTATGAAGGATGTTGTGCACCTCGGAAAGGCCAGAGTCTAAAGTCCCAGGAGTCTATAGCACAGGGCCTGGGTCAACAAGCGCTGGAAAGAAACTAGGTCAAAGTGTCCAACTAGGAACACAGTACAGGGCATATTCTTCCCTTGGGACCTATCTAAGTATTGTTCAGTGTGTTTTTTCCGACGGGAGGTTGTTCCTCCAGCAGAAATGTAATCTCACTGCCTCCAAGACGCAGACGTCCCTCCTCCCGTCTTGAATTTCCAGTCAAATTAGCTTAATCACTCTGCTGACTTGGGGCGAACGCAGCACAGCATTCGGAGCCCTGGTCGTGTAGTGGTTACTCCTTGGGCTGCCAACTGCAAGGTCGGCAGTTCAAAACCACCAACGAGTCTATGGGAGAAAGCGCTTTCCACTCCCGTAGTTAGTCTTCTGAAACTCATAGGAGCAGTTAGTTCTACCCTGTTCTACAGGGTCGCTCTGAGTCGTCATTGACATTGGTAGAGTTTTGGGTTTTTTGTTTAGCCCAGTGTTCTACGGCAGCTACTGCTCTTCTCCCTCTCCCCTGGTCTTGAAAAACTGACCCCAGCAGAGGGGAGGGCTCCCCTGTTGCAGGAGTCTTTGAGATGTGCAGAGAGGTGTTGTGTGGTTCATAGGGGCCGGGCAGGCTCTCTATTTTGTTGCTTGGGGGACCATTAGAAGATTACTTGACCTGAGGGCCTGCCTCCATCTTGGTGTTTAGGCTGGTGGTCATGGATACGTACAGTCTTTGTCCTTCTGTGATTGACTAAGGCCACTCAGCAGAGCAGTTTCCAGGTCCCTCCATGTCCTGAGGTGTTTCATGGTTGCACAGGTGTGGTTTAGGGATGTGTGGTAACCCAGTGTGTGTATGCACTGATGGGCGTCCGGGCTGTTCCACCCTCCTACTACTGTGAACTGTGCTGCATTGAGCATGGGAGAGCCTATTGTTAGGTAGCTAGAGGCAGAAATCAGGGGCTGTCCCTCTAGAGCAGTGGTTCTCAACCTTCCTAATGCCACGACCTTTTAATACAGTTCCTCGTGTTATGGTGACCCCCCACCAACTAAAAAATTATTTTTGTTGCTACTTCATAGCTCTAATTTTGCTACTGTTATGAGTCGTCATGTAAATATCTGACATGCAGGGTGTAATTTCGTTGTTATAAATTAAACCTCATGAAAGCATAGTGATTAATCACAAAAACAATATGTTGTTATATAGTATGAAATATTTCTGATTACAAATAAATGAAAATTTGTCTGGCAGCATAGTGTAGCATGGGTAACGGTCTTCATGCTGGGCACTCATATGTGGGCATATCTGCATGTGGGCAGACCCACCTGGAGACCGATAGAGGAGCGGTGTCTCAGTTCCTAAGACCATCCGAAATATGTGTTTTCTGATGGTCTTAGGTGGCCCCTGTGAAAGGGTCATTCGACCCCAAAGGGTCACGACCCACAGGTTGAGAACTCCTGCTCTACATCCCCCTTACAGGAAGTTGGAAGCCTCTGATCAAGGTTAGAGGGCATGCACACGTTCAGGTCTTTGAGACCGCAGTTCACCTGGGAGAGTCCCAATCTAGGCCAGGTGGGCTTAATTCATCCAATGGGGTCAACAACCAGTATAGTCGACCATGCCTCCCGCCTCCCAGCAGAGGACCCTAAAGAGCTAGCATCTTTCCAGCAGCTCCTCAGCTGTGCCGGGTTTCTCTGGCCTCAGGTCGCCACATGTGGGTATGAAGTGCCCTGGGGAGCCTGTGTAAAACCTGAAACTTCTATCCTTTATAAAACTCACTGGGATCGCAAACCAGGCTTCGCTGTGAATTCTTTCTCATGAGAAGCCAAAGACGAGGCATTTCCCAGCAGAGGAATCCAGCACGATGTCTGTTGGTGTCCTGTCTCATTTCCTGGAGGCTCTGCCCAGTAGAGATCTTGCTTTACAAAATACCTGTTCTTTCTTGTGAATTGGGTGAAATGTTACTGAGCACGTCAGTTTTCCATTTGATAACTCATACACATTTTATTTCACATATTGCAATCCCCTCATGGGATGATCACTCCCTCCACTGCCACTCCCCTGCCTGCCTTGTCTCCGGGTCACATGCCTCCTCCTTCTTCCTAATCCTTCTGAACTTTGTCCCTGGCTAAACGTTGATCTTCCAACCTCAAATGCTCAGTTACTAAGAGCTGCTGTATGGCTCTCCCCATTGTTACTGGTCCCCTTCATAAAAACCCACTGTCACGAAGTGACTCTGGGGACCTGGTAGGGCAGAGCAGAAAGCTTGGGCCCCATTCTCCCACAGGGTACCTGGTTCCAAATGGGTGCAAAATGTTGACCTGCCCCGTGCTTAACCCACTGCACGGCCAGGATTGACAGGCCTGTCTATTGTTGGGCTGAAAATTGTGTCATTGGGTGAGTCCAGTTTTACAACTAACAGGGGGGCTTGGCCTTTGTTATGATTTTAAGTTTTGTACCTCATTCTCCTCCCACTCTATCCAGGGCCTTCTTATGGTATCCCACCCCCCAAGAGGTCTGAAGTGGCAGCAAGGCACTTGTTCATCCCGATAGGTGTTTATAAAGAGGCGGCCAGGTATTTGGTCAAACCAGGAGCTGTCCCTCATGGACCCAGGGTGGCCAGCTGGACTTGGGGACTGGCTCCTGCAAGCCTCAGGGCTGGGCCCTGCCAGTGGAAGGTTGAGCTACCCAGGGGAAAGTTCCAGAACCTGCTAGAGTTTCTTGGGGTGGCCATGGTCCTTCTCAGAATCCAGGGTGGAGATGGGAAGGTTTGGGAGAGATGCTCTCTGGATCATTGGCTGTTCTGGTGTCAGGGGGCTGAGCCCTTGGGGAGGTATCAGGAAGGATGGGGCCAGGTGTAATCACTCTGGGGGCCTGGAGTGCAGACCCTCAAGCCTCTGAGCTTCTGGTCGGTGGAAGGCACTTCCTGGAGAGCTTCTCCTCAGCAGGAAGAAGTCCTGAAGGCTGATGAGGGGGAGGGGGGGCCGTGTTGGACAGAGACCAAGGCCCAAGGGAGGCAAAGGCACAGGTTCCAACCTCACCAGCGAACAAGCCTGCATTGAGAAGGTGGCTGGTGCCAAGAGAGCTTCAACACAATGGACATAAACTCCTCAGGTGAGATGCCTGGGACCTGGCTCAGATTCAGGAGGAACACTTCTGTCCCCACAATGCTACCTCATCAAGCCTGTTATTGTGGAAGCCCTGCTGCCCAAAGGGGCGGCACAGGAGCCTTGGAAGCCAGAAGGACCCATGATTCGGGATCCCAAGGGGTCCTAGACCCCTCCAGGAAAGACTAAACCCACAAACCCTTGCTCCTGAAGCCTGTGGTGTGCAAGGGGCCCCAGCCACCTGCATGTCCAGCCACCTG